ACAAACCTTGGCTGTTCCACTCTCTGGATGTACTCATTCAACATTCCTTTCTGTGCCAGACTTTCCAGTTCGGACCTCAGACTATTACATTGCTCTGTTGTATGACCGTGATCCTGATGAAAATCACAGTACCTAGTATGGTCTCTGGTAGAAGCAGCAGTTCTCATTGGACCCGGACGTCTTAAGTCCATCTTATTCTTAATCTGCATAAAGATTTGTGACCTCGGTAAATTAAAAGGAGTCAAATTAACTGGAGGTTTACCTGCAGGTTGTTGCGGAGGTGCTGAGTTCGGCCTTCCGAATCTCGGGGTCGACATCGGACCTCTGTTCTGTGTTGTCTTCATCTGTTTCCTGTTCGGATTCTCATCTCTCCAGTCCGGGTGTTGGCTCTTAGTAGGAGTTAGGTTTTGCGACAGGGCATATTCCTCAGCAGTTATGAATTTCAACGATCTATCATTTACCTCGCTGAAGGTGTTGGCAGGATGTTTGAGCAGACTATCTCGGAACCTCTCATGGCCAAGACCCGAGATCACCGTTGTAATTCCCACAGCTTGGTCGAAAGAATTAACCTCCAGCATTGCATCATTGAATCTGCTCATAAAATTCTTCAAAGACTCTCCGTCCCTCTGTTTGACTCGCATCAGCTCAGAAGTGGTTTTCCTGATCAACCTTCTACTGGAAAACTTTGTGGCAAAAGCAGATGCCAGTTCTGTGTAAGAGTTGATTGACCTCGGAGGCAGACTATAGTACCAAGTTCGAGCATTTCCCCGGAGGGTAGAGGGAAAGATTTTGCACATCAATGCGTAAGAGGTGTTTTGCGCTTGCATGCGGGAGTAGAAAGCATGTAGATGGTCATCAGGGTCCTTCGTCCCATCATAAGTTTCAAGCTGTGGTATTCTGAAGCCAGCAGGATAAGGTTCGAGTACAATATTGGTGTTGAAAGGGTGGGGTACGGAGTCAATAGCAGGGTGTGGAGGTGGGGCACCTCGCTGTTCAACTACTAGCCGTTCCAAGCTATCTAGACGTCGAGTGACATCGTCATGGCGGGGTTGCTGGGCTGGGGCGATGTGAGATTGGCCTTGAGATTCACTAACAGTGGGAGCATGTTGAACTGGTTTAGGATTTTGTGGTGGGGCTGGGGGT